TGACCAAGATGACTGTGCTTAAAATAAAAAAGGAAACAAACCCACCTGTGCATTGGGGCAGAGCAGCTGCTGGTCAGTGATGGCCATTGGACGTACCTGCGGCCCTAAGACCAGCTGCTGCAGCTCTGTGTACATCGCCCTGTGGAGCGCCTCACAGTCACCATTAAGACGAGCAGCTGTGTAGTACTGCTCACGACCAGCACCAGCTAGAGCATCTTGGGTCGCCTTGAGGTTGCCTGCGAGGTCACGCGCAGCATGGTCTAATGCTTCATATGTCCGAAAAGGCTCTGATCGGCCATGGTCTGAATTGTGGTCAAGGATCTGGAGCAGCCTGAGAAAAGAGTTGCATACAACACTGAATTATATTCCAAAGTGAGACAGTCAGCATATTAAGAAGGACAAAGAGTGTCACTGGCACAAAGCAGCAAACATAGTGGCACAGTATTTCAGAGGAGGTGAGTGAATAATCCTGGTTTGAGTGTGCAAATATTCACATGTGGATGAATAAATGAACTAGTGAATTAACCGAGTTACATTCTAGCAATTCTGTTATTCTACAGTTGTGTGATCCTCACAGCTAATCATAAAAGCTCTCATTATGTACTGGTGAATCAGTAAAGTTAAAGGCCCAACTCAGGGTGAAAGCAAATCCATCCATCCTCTGTCCTCGACTGTAATGACATCTGATTAATTATGCGACGTGTATAGCACTAAGTCAGTTAAAACTAATAGCTGATGATGATTAGTGTATGTGACATGACCACGGCAATGTGGCATATACCTAGCCGTCTCATGGACAAGGAAAGAGGCTTCAAAAGACCGACTGACGTAGTAACTTCCAGGAATAGAACAGTTTGCACCAGACAATGTCTCAGCAAGGTCATGATGACCTGGTTGTCATTCAAGTAGGGAGTGTATGAGGAAACAGGCTAAGTATGGAGTAAATAATACAAGCCACTAGCCTGTCAACAGGTCAGTCTCAGACGTGTGCCTCCACCCTGATTTCTGTATAAAACTAAGTATTTTGTCTTGTTAGTTGTCTCCTGGGACCACTTGGTTTACTTCTAACATTCATTTGAGGCAAATAAACCTGTACAAAGTGAACTCTACAGTTTCACTGTCAGATTAGTCTATGTGTACTCACCTGTGGTGCCTACTGTAGTCAGAGCAAATTTAGTTTGAGTTTCATAAGTTAGCAAGCCTAAAGATGAGAGCCTAATTACAAAAAACATGTCTTTATCTGTAAAGACAGAAAGGATAAATTATTAGAATTATTAGACATACTAGACCAAAAAGGGCGCTTCTATTTACTGAGCTAGGTTTATGCTGGCTGTAATGTCCTTGATGCGAGGGTGCATGATGTGGCCACTCTGGGCCACATCGGCTAGAAATCTGTTTGAACCTGAGGAAAACCAGACTCATCTGCCAGAGTTAATAATACATGAGCTTGCAGATTTTTCTGGTCTCCAGGCTAGCCCCAAACAGGTTCAGCTCTTTAACAAGTCTATAGCATTGTGAGAAGCTTGAGGCTTTTTACCTGCTGAAGGCTGCATCCTTGGAGCTGATGATAGGGTTGGGCCTGGGGTTGATAGCCAGCTCAGGGTGTGCCAGGGAGTCAATTCTGAGGGCTGCTGCTTCACCTTCCTTTACCAGTCTGCTATTTACTTCTCCCAGCTGCTTAAGACATGTCCTCCACCTCCTAAACTCCATCTCCTGCCCAAGGAGCACCAGGTCAAAGGACGCCTTTTGGCGGAGTAGGTAGTCTCGTACCTAGGAGGAAAATGTTCAGTTTACTATGGCTGTTGAACAAACAAGAGGACAAAGTTCTACCATTATGTTTGTATGCACCTCATATCTCACGTTTTCAAGCAAAACAGTTGAATTCTTAGCAGCTTAATCAGAGCTGACTGATGGCTAACCCTGAACCCTTACCTCTGTGAAATACAAGTTTTTACAGAAAAATGAGAGTGGAATATGTGATATATTATTAACTTACCTGATCCTGTCTGGAGGTGTAGTAGTCCTGCCTGGCTAGTTGCAGAGCCAGGTCTCCCCTCACTATCGGCACATTAATTAACCTGGCTGACTCTCTAAGGGCAGTAGGTACTGGTCCTTGGAGCAGGGCCTCCAGCTCAGCCTCCACTGCCTGCAGCTCCTTCCTGGAAGCAACCTCGCGGACATGCAGTGAGGAGGACATGGAAATGCTCTGGTAGAGTGAAGAGACAGAGGCAAAGGCGAGCTTGAGACATGAGTACTTGAGATATAAACAAGAGCTTGAGACAAGAAGCCAGAATAGTAATAACTGAGCATATAATGAGAGCTCTGATATTCTTTAGGGAATAATAACACACATATGTCTGCTTTACCTTGGTATGAGAGGACTTCTCAGAAAGCCAGTCCAGTCCAGCCTTAACACTCTTCTCCTCTGCTGTGGCCTGCATCAGTTGGTGCTGGGCCACAATATGAGACCACTGCAGCCTGGCCATCTCTGTTCTCCTGTGCTCCACCACTCGCTCTTCCCTCTCTCTTTCCTCGTGTTCACTCTCTTCATCGTCTTTATCTTCACAAGAACTGAGGTCAAGGACCTGGAAGCGCTCAGAGCAAGAAGTCTCAACAATGTCAGAGATGCCCTGGAAGAAATGCTTTTGAGTGAAAGCAGCTAGTGTTTTAGTGTTGAGCTCCTCCTGGTGCAGGTAGGGACCCAAGGGCAGCTGAGAGAGGAGGACAGAGGGACTTTTGGAGATAGAAGGGTTTGGAGGGGCCACAGGTTCTCCTTTTCCTTTGTGATTGGCCTGTGGCTGAAGTGGGAGATATGAAGAGAGCTTTCTCACCTCCTCTGTTAGGTTCTGTAATAGAGTATTGGTGTCAGCATTCTCAGCTGCAATGGAAGCACTGGCCTCTTTTAGTTTACGTGCAGCGCTCTCCAGCTCTGCATTAAGTCGTAGGTCAACATCTGCACGGGAGGTGGCTACAACCTGCAACCTGTTATACCGCTGTTGCTTCAGCTCTTTCTCTTTACGCAGTGCCTGAAGTTCTGCCTCCAAGTCCTCTATAGCTACATCCCCCTCAGCTGCAAACACGGACGATGAAGATGAAGAAGAAGGCCCTAGCATGTTTGCACTACTCCCATCTGAAGGTCCAATGGTTTTAAGGACCTCGCCCAGGGCTGCTTCATCCAGAAATGACTTGCCGGACTTGCGTAGCTCCTGATAAGCACATGCCTCCTCCGTGGTGAGAACATTGCTTTGGTTGAGGGTCCGACAGACAAAGCGCAAGAAGTGAAGGTTCTCCGGGGCACAGTCAAACAGCCAGTCGAAGTCGGACGCCTTCAGCGATGATGCACCAGGATAACCTAGACGGCCCACGGCCTCCACAAACTGGCCACCGTCTAACATGGTGGCTCTCAGCACTATGTGCCCCTTATAATGTGCAAGCCAGTCACACAGCAGCATAATGTGGATCGTGGAGGATAAGGTGAAGACCAATACAAAAACAGTGAGATTACATATAGCAAAGCATATTCATGATCTGAAACTAGGGATGTCATGCATGCTTTGGATCAGGGATAATCCAGGCACTCAATAATCCTGTTTATCTATATAAATCCCAATCCACATCTGGTCTTTTTTGTTTGTTTCAGGTAATCCAGCTGTTAAAAACACCTTGCTGCACTCCATTAAAACACTGGAATCATTTTATAACATGCAACAGTGACCCACAAAGCACAAAAAATAAATAGAAGCAGGTAAAATTATTGATATATCAGAAGATATTGATGCTCATCCTCTATATGGTTTTAATGTACAATTTTTGCAGACAGTTTGTGGTGCTGTTGAAATGTATTGTGTCATTAATATGCCCCCTTTAATATCAGATTCATTTATAGTATAACACAACACAATTCAATAGCACGACGAAAACAGCCTCAAGAATGACCAAAGTTGAATCAACATCTCTTTTAAACAGCTTCAAGAGTTCCTATAATTTAATGTGAGCTTTTAGAGTGTGTACTGTGTAGTGACATAATGTAGGGAAAAAAATCCAGGATATCCCTGCTTAGGAAAAAACCTAAGAATAAAATCTCATCGCTGTCATAAATGATATGTATTATTGCAATATTTTTCTTTGGCCTGTCCAATGATTGTAAACAGTCAGTGAGGCTGTCAGGCTGGAGACATTTTCACGTTAATGTGACCGACAATATATAAGACCCATCGAATCTGAATTTAGGACAATTTAAGACCTTCTATTAACAAGACTTACTTCAAAGCATTTTAAGACATTTTAAGGATTTGTAGACACCCTGACACACCTCTTCTCACAATACCACCATCACAGCGATGTATCTTTCAACCTAAAACTAGCAGCCTTTTTTAGTCACAAGCAACGTTTCGGTAACATTAATTACAACATACGCCTCTGAATCTTTAGGACAAGTGAGCTAACCTTAACGGTTACGCCGCAGTCGACCGTTAGAGAAACGTTAACGAAAACGTCTGTACGTTTCTAACAATTATTGTTGCTTTCGGTGTTTCCGCAAATACATGCTGGTGTATTAATTGTAACTGGGATGTACTGCGGCCGAAAATAGGCAAATATTCGCGGTTGTCATCGAGTGTAAGTGTCGTAACTACTTCCCTTTTTGTGTTTTGCTAGCGAACAGATGCGTCACAACAGTTAGCTTCACTAAGTTAGCTTAACAGCTGCGGTGCGCTACTCGGCTAGAAAATAGTTGTAGCAACTTTGCTAACAACCGTTGTCAGTTTTGTCGAAAGCAACGTGTTCGTGTATTTTCTAACCAACAAAAGTCAACTTTTAACAACAACAACTATCGAAAAATATCACTGCATTACTTACAATTTTATTCAGGAACTCCGTTTTGTTAGCATTCCGTCCTAGCCGTTATGCGCTCGCGCCACACATCCAAAATGACCTGACGTCAACACGCAGGGACGACGTGACGTTCTGCGTCATACATTGGAGGCTGCGTCAGCCTTCCAACCAATCGCATTTGCGGATTGAAAGTTGGTTCCCGCCTTCCCTCCTCCCACGCGTCCAAACAGCCACGGCTGCCTACTCTTTCTGTCCTCAGTCAGTTCACTACTTCTGTTATCTCTGTGTGGAGAACGACAACTGGTAAGCCATATGGATAATCCTGATAGGGCTGTATTTAATCTAACACGCTCATATGAACTGGATTACGTGCTAATATAGAGGAGGGGGCATCAGAATACAAAAGGCAGACTGGTATGGCACCCCACCACAGCAGAGTTCAACTCTCACTCATGTATCAGCTTTTAACTGTGTGCTTCTAGTGTGAGATTACTGGTAGGTGTATTTAGGTATGAGCTCACTTTCTTTCAGCTGATTTCCGGAAAGCGATCGTTCAAAAAAAAAAAAAAAGTTAAGTCATTGTGGTTGAGTTGTACAATCAGGAATCTATTGGACTTGCTCCTTCCTGTTTTCTTAAATGTGTGTGTACTTATGTATGTGTACAGGCATGTCAGTGTAGGGTGAATACATTCCTCTTTAATTACAGATTTGCATAGCAGATAATAGATGTACCTTAACGATGCACTTTCAGTTGTAATAACTACTGAGTGTGAAGCTAGGACACTGCAATCCAAGGAGAGCCTATCAGTTTGAGTTTGTGCTGCTTTAATAAGAAGACATACGATTTAGTGTGTGACCCAGTTAGTTTCACACACCTATATTGAGTTGAACTGTCTGTCTCTATGAGTCAGTTAAATCTAACATGTGTTGTGTTTCGCACAGCACCAAGAATGACTTAGCTTGATTACATCCAACTGCTCCATCTCTCACAGCTGCCCCAAACAAAGAATCATGGTCCAAGCTAAGGTGTGGGTCCTGGCCAAGCACTTTGACGGCTTCCCAAAGGACAGCGACTTTGAGCTCAAGGTGGAGGAGCTCCCTGCACTGAAAGATGGGGGTAAGATGATTTTCTGATTGTCTCTTTATTCCCTCAACTTAAGTTTGAAGAGGAGAGTGCTGAAGATTGAATGTACAGCGCTTTAAATGAGTCACTGTATACTTGATTGAGTAACACACAGGTGAGGAAACCATCTGTTCATATCGTGTTAACACTTGTTTTGCTCTGATGTCCCTTTTTGTTTCAGAGGTGCTCGTGGAAGCAGTGTTCCTCAGTGTCGACCCATACATGAGGTGAGCGGGGAGCGGGATAATGCATCTTAAAAACATTCTTCTTAACAAAGCATTCATTAATCCAACAGTGCATACATATGTAACACACGCTGTTTGTCTCTCCAGGCCGTTCAGTCGGGTTCGCATGAATGAAGGCGATGTGATGATCGGAACTCAAGTGGCCAAGTAAAGAACACAAACACACCAACTCACACACACACAGGAATGTCTTTAATCTCTCATGATGTGCCATGCATGCCCACATGTTTACTGAAACTGAACCAGTCCTCCACCTGCTGTTAATCATGCCGAAGCCTTTGATTCGCAGAGACTGAAAAAGCAAAAGCGGACAAATTGTAATGTTCTTGGCTGAATGTTCAGACGCTCAATCTGTTTGAGTGGGAATGTTTTTGATGATAAACATGCAGCATTAATTGCTCAGTGACCAAACTTCCCAAACAACATCAGAATAATCTGTTTCAAACACACGTGTTTTGTATTTTCTTTACTTTGTTGTGAACCAAAATGCATAAAACTCATTTGCCACATGGTTTGACATCACACAGCTGTCTAGGACACTGCAACGCACTTAAAAACATAAATAGTTTTTGCCAAAGTGCTTTTTGATTTTCAGTTAAATCTTGTGTTTTCTGTGTGACACCTCAGACTGAAGTGGGAACACATGAGACGCACGCAACTGACAAATGACTTTTTTCTTCTTCTCTTTTCTGGGTTATTTGTTTTTCTGTAGAGTGATTCAAAGCAATAACCCGAAATTTCCTGTTGGAAGCCATGTTGTTGGTCGAGGTGGTTGGAGGACCCATACAGTTAGTGATGGGACAGACCTCATTCCCATCATGCCTGAGTGGCCGCAAGATGTCTCGTTATCCCTGGCTCTGGGTGGCCTCGGCATGCCAGGGTAAGACAGATGTTAGGTTGCCTCTGTTGGTAGAAACTGAATGCAGAGGAGCTGTACATGGCATTCGGGCCTCCAGAATAAATAGTTTACTGTGACTTGTTTTTCCGGCTTCTGCAACAGTTTAACAGACATGACGCTGCCTGAACTGAATTGAACCTCTTACCCGTAGTGCTGTTTGTCAGCCTGGATTGTTTTAGTGTGAGTTGGTTCTCAAAGCACCAAAAAAAATACATTTGAAAAACCCAGTAGAAAGGAAATAGTTCCCTTATGAAGCTGCTCACAACAAGGTCTGTAGATTATCTGTCTGGGGAGACATTGCTGTTCAGATATATTTTGCGGCACTTTGAGCACCACAAGCTGAGTGCCATCTAGTTCCATTATATTGGAGAGAAGGCAGACATCTCTACAGCTGATATCTCCAACACTCTGCAGCTCACTCCAAAAGAATCTAACTGATAAATAGCACTACATGTAAGAAGCAAAATATGTACTTTTGGTTTTGAGGTGAACTGTCCCTTTGAATGTAAATAGCAGGGGGGTAAGAAACACTGCTTAGTAGCAACTAGTAGAAGGTTTGGGTGACTCCTTTGTGTGAACTGTAATGCATAAAGAGAATACGTAGCCCTCCCTGAGTAAATATTACACATGATTGCTACTCTGAAAACAAATATTGCCATTTCTCAGCTTATGTTTAAGGGAGAGAGTTGTTTCTCATCTCTTTTAAAAAAAGAAGTTAACTTAGAGTTTATCTTTCTTTGAAAATATTAACAGGTGAGCATACAGATGTTTTGTTGCTGGTGAGCCAAAGTCACTGATAACCTTGCCATGGAAGCAGTCACAAAGAGTTAACATAACAAAAGTTAAAGCAGCTCCTTTTGTGGACCTGGAGGAAAAACACACCATCATGCTTTTCAGATTTTGGTTGTTGGATTTTAACCCTTTGTTGCCCTCTCCAGACTGACGGCCGTCTACGGGATAGAAGAAGTCTTGGGGCTCCAGAAGGGTGAGACCCTGCTGGTGAACGCCGCAGCGGGGGCAGTGGGCTCTGTCGTGGGCCAGATTGCCAGGATCAAAGGCTGTAAGGTGGTGGGCTCAGCAGGGTCCGATGCCAAGGTGGCTTTCCTCAAAGAGCTGGGCTTTGATGAGGCCTTCAACTACAAGACTGTCGGCTCCCTGGAGGAGGCGCTGAGGAAGGCGTCTCCAGACGGATATGACTGCCTCTTTGAAAATGTAAGCAATGGTGGTGCAGCTCCGAGCCTGGAGGTTGTGCTTGAGCACTTCCTATTTATGCTCTCCTTTTTATGTTTAGTTTAAATGACACTTTTCTCTTGATTTCAGGTGGGAGGCTCTTTCACAAGTGTTGCCATACAGCAGATGAAAAACTTTGGAAGAATAGCCGTGTGTGGATCCATTTCCACGTACAATGACACCATACCCCAAACAGGTGCGTACTTCAGTTTTCTCAAGAACTGCTCGTCGAAACAACTTCACGCTCAGCGCTGCGCGTCCTCGGGTTCTGAGCAGTCCACCTGCCATGACATAGTTGTGCCCCTTGGCATTGCTAGAGGATACACGTCACATTAACATTTTGTGGCATCATTGAAATTAAAGCCTGGCTATTTCCCGGGAAAAGAGAGCTTGATGCTTGATGCAGCATCTCTTAGTCATCCTTTCTTCATCTGTTCTTGAATGTACTTGGAGTTCCTGCGCATCTCTTAAAGTCTTAACAAGTCATTCATTTAAGAATAAGTCCTTAATTGGTATTAAAATTCCTCAAATCAATTTTTCAAAAGTGTTAAAAAATGCAAAGACATGGGAATTAGGGTTTTATGAATCTTTTTTCCTGATGTTGTATTGTAAAATATAAGAAATAATTGGTAACATCAGTTTTTTAAACATAATTTACCAAATGCCTCTCACATTAACGTCACATAGCTCAGGATAGAGAAACCAATAACATTTCGTCTCCAGCGGGGATGCTCAGAGCAGAGGATCCACTATCTGCTAGCTGGACAACATGGGGAAGTGCAAAGTCAATGAAAACTGGCCATGTAACCAAGATTTTGCGGCATGACTGAAGCCAATATGAGGCAATACTTAAGAGGCTTGAGGTATTTTATGCAAGAAGTTTTTCAAACTCACCACGATGAGAATCAAGGCAGGGAAATCCAACATGCAGAGTGAGACACAAAAAAACCGCCAACAAACACCAGCTATTTTCCAGTTCTTTTCTCCCCTTGTCTCTGCCACAAGACAAAAAAAATCAGGTTTTATGCTTCGATAAACATTTGGGCAAAATTGTCTCAACCCTTTTTGCAAAATTGGTCTTAAATTTAATTCCAAGTGGCATTAAAAGAGTCTTTAAAAGTCTTAAATCTAACTTGCCTTAAGCTGTAGTAATACTGAAGCGAGTGATAGAGAGCGAGCTTTACCCAGCATGCTGTTAGGTGGTGTAACAGTTAATAGGGATCACCTTTTAATACATGACACACAGTGTATCCAAAAGGCATTAGTGATAAATATGTCCCATAGATCTAAAGAGCTCACCCTCAACAGTGCACTTCCTTGAGTCCTCAGCACCACACCCGCCAAGTGGGAAGGCGATCAGATGACCTGTTGTCGAGAAAATCAATGGACAGACAGACAGACACTCCTTCCTTTTTAGTTAGATACCTGTGTGTGAAAAAGAAATATTGAAATGCATTAAAAATTACGTGCAAACACATTTTTAACTTCACATGTTGAGATGATTCTACATCTTCTCCACTAGAGGGCGACAGTGCATTACTGAAATGTTAGAGAGCTGTTGAAACAGACCTTAGTCTTGACAGACCTAGTTAAAAGTTTTTTCCTCAACCACTTGTCTCTGTCTCAGGCCCATACCCCCACCTGACAATGATCTTCAAGCAGCTGAAGATGGAGGGCTTCATGCAGAGCAGGTGGGAGCACAAGCACCCCGAGACCCAGGGGAGACTGCTGGGATGGTATAAGGAGGTCAGTGATCTGGATCTCATTCAGAATTGTTTTGTGTGTTTCGTCAGTAAAGGTTTGATCTCCGTTAGAAGGGGTGCCCATGTTTCTGCTTCAGTGTAATTTATGTGATTTTATTTGCAGGGCAAACTGAAGTGTCGGGAGCACATCACAAAGGGCTTTGAAAAGATGCCAGCTGCTTTTATGGGGCTGCTGCGGGGAGAAAATGTCGGCAAGGCTGTGGTCGCAGTCTGATGTGGAACAATGGAGAAGAATCAGTATTATTAACAACTGATGGATTATAACAGAATTAATACATGAAGGAGTGAGCAATAGACACAGTTAACCAGCTATTTTTATATTAACGTGACGTCCATGAAAAATGTGATACATCATATTTAACCTCAGTTTAGGATTCAGTGTTAGAGTTAAGTCTGGCACTCTAATTCTTTAAAATGAGACCATACTGCTAGTTTTGGGTTTTCATTCATAGTAAAACACCTCTTTTTGTAATGCATTTCAAACATGATGTGTAGATCTGCTGCTGACATCCATACATTATTCACTGTAACGTGTGCTTTGTATTCAGCAAGAACTTTTGTGTAGGTAATAAAATGTGGAGGTTTTCTCAAATTTTGTTTTTGCATCATACATTTTACTCATGTGTCAGGCTTCATATTGCAGACTTTGAGTGTCCACGCAGTGTAAATCTGGTATTTATTAATGCATGTCCTTCATTGAAGGCCTGAGGAGAAATGGGAGGGGGAAAAAGTTATTGCAGATGCGTGCTCGTTTCAGTCTTAGAATGAGTCGGGTCGAGATAATAGAGCAGGCACCGTTAGCCCTCTGCTGCCAAGTGCAGCTTTGTGTTTGATCAGGAAATACGCTGTATTTTTAGACGCTAATTTGAATTTCATAAGGTTGTGGCGGTGATGAGAGCCCCAGCTCCATGGTAACATCGGATGCTGTTGGTCCAGTAGAATAGCACAAGGTTTGCCCACTTTGGTGTCGAGGTGTGGAGTCTGCAAACCTAACAGTTTTTTCTTTAACCAGAAAAACCTCTTGGGATCAAAAATCTCTTTTTACGAGTGTCCTGACAGCAACATAAGTTACAGACAGACAAGATAGAACAAAAATACAGAATAAAAATATACAAAACAAGCATTATAAAACACAAAATAAGATTACTATGAAGAAAAGCCAAAGGTGTGTTAATAGTGAACCACAGAAGTGCAAAAAAGGATGATGATTACAAAGGCCAGCTAAGATACACAATGACATTGGCACATAGAAGATTGTGTACAAAAATCCTGCAACAGTGTTTTGAGTGCAACTTTAAGTCCTTCTGCAGAGGAGTCCACATACAAGAAGCTGCATACATAAATGCTTGCTTACCAAACTCTGTGCGTACCCTCGGTACAGACAATAAAAACATGCTCTGAGAACGGAGTTTAACTTTTTAGGAAAAACCAATGCTCCTATATACCAATTCCAAAATTTGCACTGATTAGTAATAACGCTCTGAGGCTGAGCTTAATGCTCAAGTCACAGCTGGATTGCGAAACAGGTGTGTCAGGCACCCCCCTGGCCTTCACTCGTCACGTGACAACCAGGGAGAGACTCAAAATGAAAACAAGGAGACACTTAAAACCCACAAATAGATGCAAATATACCGCAGAGAGACACAAAATAACCACAAAAAAAAGACTTAAGTGACAAAATGAACAAAAAAAGACATAAAACTATGTCAAAGAGACACAAAATCACTTCAGTAAGACAATTAACTCAAAGACACCTAAATTACCACAAAAAGACTAAACAAAATCACAAAAAGATGCATAATGAATACAAAGTGACACAAAACCACTACAAAGTGTGTTTTGTTCCTATATAGGAGAGGTGGTGGGGCCCTTTGCATTCTTGTGCTCAGGGGCCCATTGTCTCATAATCCACTCATGGCTCAAGTGATAAGAAATAATGGCACTGTGATCCTGGAATTTCAACAGCCCTTAAAATTTGGGCGCCAACAACCATTTGATGGAAATTAAATCACTTTATCAGTCACAAGAACAAGGAAATATTCTTGGTCTGTAGTCTACTATTTAAAAATATTTTTGTGAGCATACGTTAAGCACATTGAAAGCCACATTATACATGAACTGTTAATTCTGGCGAGACAGACTTTGGGGACACAGTTGGAAAATTATTTGTTGCGCAATAACATATAAAAAATAAAGACATATTTTTGAACTAGTGTAATTTACATGTTTAGTAGTAATTAAGAGACCTAAATGTAAGGGTTAAAAGGCTAAAAATCAAATCGAAAGCGTTGACGTAATGGCGGCAAGTCACGTGCGCGACGCTTTCCAGTGTATTACTCATAATACCACATTGGAATTGAGCTGCGCCGTCAGTCGTTTACGGTAAACCAGGAATTTGCCAAGTCATTGTGACTTGAAGTACTAGTTATCCTGTGTCCCTGCAATTATTGAAATTATTAGAATACTTTTGGAGATAGAAAAATAAGATATACAAAAACAAACCATCATACCAGGTGATGTAATCGGTAAATTAAAGAAAATCCTATTAATTTGTGAACGTGTGCGGAGCCTTTTTTGTGTAAAGTCAGCTTAATCTCTTTATTGACTTTAAAGCAAAGGCTTACAAAGCACACAGAGGCAATCCATACATTAATCGGGAGACAACATGTGACTCTAGTATCTAGTATCGTGTATTGACAAAATCCCTTAGTTACGCTGATGACATTAAAAACGGCACCATCCAGGCGTAAAGCGACAAAAGTGGAAAATCTTACATCGCTGACAACTTTCAAAATAAAGGTCTTTCTTTGAGAAAGCGTTGCAGTGCTGAACACAGAATCGTAACAAATGATATATGAGCAGTGAAATGTGTCAAAAATGAAAGTGCAGTTAACGCGTATTCACATGCACGGCACACACCCATTGCTTTAACGCGTTTTAAAGACGACGACTTTTATTTTGAAGCGCGCCCGTTTCCGGTGTGGCGGTTTGGGCGGAGGCTGAGTCGCTTGATAGCTTCAATATAACCGCGGTGTGTCGGGTGGAGAAAGAGATTCCAAAGACTTAGCCGCCTGTCTTTCGTCCGGAGACTCGTCCATACAGCAGCCATGGTTCGTCATGTGGAAACTTTGGTAAGTTTTTTCCCCAAGAGGTTTATTCTCCGGCTTAGCTTTTATCGTTGTTACAAGCCGCCATTTTAACTCATTAATGGATGTTTTGGCTAACCAACGGGTGATGATGTGGTGCTCCCACGGACCGAGCAGCCGCGCGCACGTCCCCCCTCCTCTCGTGACCCATTCTCCACATTAAGAGTTTATTTTTTTTTATTTTTCCAGCATGTTAAGTTGACTGAGAGTTGATTTTTTTATTACATCCCTCCTATTATGACTTAACAGTAAGAGTAAAGCTGTAACGTTAGCCTCCGACTTGGTTGATTGGGTGATTCATTGTGGATTGATAACGTTAGCCGCCACCATGTGAGTGACTGTGGACTTTGCCATCTTGTAGACAAGCGGGTTGCCAATAATGTTAAGTTGCAGTGGAAATGCTTGTCGCGCCAGGTTTTTACACATGGAAACCTCGTTGCATAATCTCTACTGTAACGTTAGTCTTAAAATTCCCTGTATAGTTATCTTAAAGTGACGGATACAGATGCTAACGCTGGAGCAACTTGTAGCTAACGTCTGTGCTGCTGCATCATGCTGGATAGTGGGGCCATCCACAGCAGGCCATACCCGTCCACTGGGTGCTACAGGATGCACGGGTGGGACCTGTAATGAGCTTTCCTATTATAGAGCATATTTTAATACCTATATTGTGATTACCGAGAGCGCATGATGTATGTGTGGCGGTTAAACACAATGAACACACGAGTGCACTATTTGGCATAGCCGCTGCAGTGCTCTGATATCGCAAGTGAAAGAGTAGGTTTGTTTTAAATATCAACTTAGCATTGGCATCTATCCAGATCATACACTGAATGGAGCTGACTGTCATTTATAAAGAGTGTGTGACAGCTTATTTTGGATAGCTACAAAAAGAACAATTGTACCTGAGAGGTCATGGGATGAGGCAAAACACTTTAGAAAGAGTAACAAAGGAGGGATCCCTCCTCCAGGATGCACATCTTATATACAGAGTTGTAAAAGTATTGAAGTACAATATTTGGATTTAAAATCACCTACTGAGTTTTATGAATGAGCTGCTTTTGTTTTAAGCATGTGTGATATGGTGTGGTTGTGCTGGTTTGGTGACACACTCTCAAAGTGAAAGCCCTCTGGTATAATAAGTGGTGCAGTGGTTGTTGATGAGGTGGGTGTGCAACTAGATGGCTGATGAGGTTACTGAGGAGGAAGTGGGTATACTCTCTTATATATTCCAATGGCTTTATGGCTGATACTGTAAATGGACAGAAGAGGTAGGTATACCTGCACGTACCCACCACTATACTATTGTGTATAGTTGAAGACATCCATCCATCCATTTTCATCCACTTATCCGGGGCCAGATTGCGGGGGCAACAGGCCAAGCAAAACACCCCAGACGTCCCTTTTCATCTGCAACGACTCCAGGCGTTTCCAGGCCAGATGAAATGCGTAATCCCTTCAGCATGCTCTGGGTCTGCCCCGGGGCCTCCTACCAGTGGGACGTGCCCGGAACACCTCCAACGGCACATGAAGGAAATGTTGGATTTGAATTAGCAGCAACGGTAGCCACTGACCAAATAATGCTTAATGGCACAAGCAGTCAGCAAGAGGTGCAACAGATTGCTTATCAACATTATCACTATGGCGAATGTAAGCTGCAACAACTGAGTTCAGGTCACTTAATCCCTCGCAGCATGATCAAAACAAATTGCTGACATTATCTGTTTTTCCTGTAGGAGGAATTCAATGCAATCCTGAAGGAAGCTGGAGACAAGCTGGTGGTGGTGGACTTCACAGCCTCCTGGTGTGGTCCCTGTAAACAGATTGGCCCACACTTTGACGTAAGAAGTTGATTTTGGCACTTAAGTTGGTTGGAAAAGCTGAAAGAAAATCATTTTATGAATTTTTTTTTTATTTTTATACCTCAATGAATTTCTTTCAAGGAAAGTTTATTTTATATCTGTATGAACAAGGGAACTGTGGAGAAAATGTAAACTAGATGATGGGCACAAAAAGTATTCCTTTCTAAATTGGAATCATATTAAGCTGACAAATATTTTTAGAGACAGTGTTGGTCATATTTATAACTCCCGTGGCTATGAGGTATTTTATATTTAGACACATCGTAGTTGCAGCCTTTGTAAAACAAATGTTTCCAGACTGTTAGTTGCTAAAGGGAGCCCTCTCCTCAGGGACAAATGTTGCTCAAGGGCAGCATCTCTTGTTGCTCAGGCAACCTTTCGTTAAGCTGTTCCAGTCTTATGTAGGAAATGCCTGCTTAACTGGAAAATGAAATGTGATGGTTGTGCATAACCTAAATAAATCATAGAGCCAAGATGTCAGATGTCTTTCCCTGTAGACTTATTGTAAATCAGGAACAGAAATACATCAGTATCATACTGTCTGCACGTCCTGAATGCTCATTGATCCACTCTCTTGCAGGAAC